AATCATCCAAGAGTCCTGCATCTCACCCCAACCGTCTCCTCATCCTCAAGCTCATGTTTCGACTCCTCGAGGAGTTCCGGAGATTTTTGACCTGGAAGGGGATGCCCCGTTGTCCCCATCTATGCTCGAAGACCATGCACGATGTCCCTTGATACCGACCTTGGTATCCAAGTTTCAGGACGACGTCGACCCTGGGGAAGGGGTTCGAACCCTTGAGCTCGCCACTTTGAAGGTACGAGCATGTCCTCGAGCTTTTGACTTGTTTTTTACCTCGGCTATTGGTCTGACCTCATTTTTTTTTTAAGGTGTTGAGCATGGCTCGGGGTTTATCCTTGAAGAGTCTAGGTTCATCAATAATATATTTGACATTTGAAATAACATAATATCTGATATTTGATATCAAATCTTAAAAAATCTGGATCAATGTAATTTCCACCGGTAAAAGTCCTAGCAAGTGAAGACTAAAGCCCAAGACTCATATCTCGGATCCCATGACCAAACTGGCCCAACAATTGAACCCACAGAAAACTTGTACCATCGTGCATAGTTAGGAGCCTGCATCAGCCATTCTTGGCCAAGTGTTTGGTACCATGCAAATGTGTTTACACCAAAACACCTCAGACCACCACGTAGAATATTACATTTGTTTTCTCCAAAAATCTGCGGCGAGGTGTCTAAAAATGGTGTCACAATCCATGCAGAAGATTACAAACCCCTTCAATGCCACACGGCTCTCCACATTTTCCTTCATCCCACTATAAAATCCCCCCTCAAAACTCCATTTCCATCATCACCATTTCTTCTATATTATCTCTTGGTCTAGTGCATCAATGGCGTCGAAGTTTCTTCTAGCCTTGTTTCTCTCTTTGTTTTTATCTTCTGTAATGAGCCAGAGGACCCCTCAGCTCAGTGAAGCCCAGCAGTGCCACTTCCAACGCCTCTCCGCTTCTCAGCCGTCCCGCCAGATCCAATCCGAGGGCGGTGTGACTGAATTGTGGGAGGAAAATGAAGAACAGTTCCAATGTGCTGGTGTTGCGGCCATGAGAAACACCCTCAGGCCTAATTCCCTCTCTTTGCCGAACTATCACCCCACTCCACGCCTAGTTTACATCGAGCGCGGTAAATTTCAATTTAATGAATTGTACAGTACTCGATTTTATTTGAAAAGGTATAACAGAAAGTGAATTTTTTTGTTGCGTGCAGGTCAGGGTTACGTAAGTGTAACCTTCCCAGGTTGTGCGGAAACGTACAACTTTCAACAGACTCAGATGACACAAGAGAGCCAACAGGACCAACACCAGAAGGTGCACCGCATTCGCCAAGGAGATATTATTGCTATTCCGGTCGGTGCAGTCCATTGGTGCTACAATGATGGTGTCGAAGACCTCGTCGCAGTCTCTGTGAACGACCTTAATCACCAGTCCAACCAGCTTGATCAAAAATCAAGGGTAATTTTCCATTTTTAATCAATTTTTGATATGGTGGTGTTGGGATATTTTAAAGTAATTAAATGCCTGTGGAAATATTGTACAGTCATTTTACTTGGCCGGAGGAGTACCAAATAGTGGCCAGCAACAGCAAGAAAGCGAGATTTTCCAGAACATTTTGCGGCCATTTGACACTAACCTGGTGGCTGAGGCGTTCAACATTCCTGCGGAGATTGTGCAGAAAATGCAAAGAGAAGATCAGAATCAAAGAGGACTCATTGTTAATGTTCAAGAAAGACTGAGTTTCATTAGGCCTGATGAAGGGCAAGAACAAGAACAAGGACAAGGACAATCTGATAATGGCTTAGAAGAAAGCTTTTGCACAATGAAGATCCGAACCAACATTGAAAACCGTAGAGGCGCTGATATCTACTCCAGACAAGGCGGAAAAGTTAACGTTGTTGACAGGAATAAGCTTCCTCTCCTTAAGTACATGGACATGAGTGCTGAAAGAGGCCGTATATACAAGGTAAACTATGCCCACAGATCTTCACAATTTGTGACCTTATGTGATAAAAAAAAATTTCGATTCTTTTCATAATGATCAAATTATATCCGGTATTGTTTGTTATATATGTGTTCCAGGGCGCAATGGTAAGCCCACACTGGTCCATGAACAGCCACACAATTGTATATGTAACTGGAGGAGATGCTCAAGTACAAACAGTGGACAACAATGGGCAAACCGTAATGAATGACAGGGTAAGCCAGGGTAATATTTTCGTGGTTCCTCAGTTCTACACCTCCACCGCGAAGGCCGGAGGCTTTGGGTTCGAGTGGGTGGCTTTTAAAACCACCGGGTGGCCGATGAGAAGCTCTCTTGCTGGTTACACTTCAGTTGTAAGAGCAATGCCTCTTCAAGTTCTAACAAATTCATACCAGATTTCACCAAATCAAGCTCAACAGATCAAGGAGAATCGAGGAGGAGAAAGTTTCTTGCTTTCTTCCCGTTCTGGCTTCGGTCCCGGTTTCAGTGGACGGCGTTATTAGAGGGAATTTTGTTGTATCCCATGTTGATGTTGTCTTTCAGCATGTCTGTGTAAGAAGTTGTGTTTTCCAATAATGCGAATGAATGAGGTGTTTCTGTTCAGGTTGGTATTAATAAAGAGCTGAGTTTTTAATGTCTGTTGTTTTTCATATGTTTTATTTGTCACATTTTTATTTAATTTTCCCAATTACTTTAACTATCAACATGATAAATATCTTTACCACACATTATATTGTTTTAACCACCTGACGTGGAAGTGAAAATTGTGTTTGAGAATTATAAACCCTAATTTTATTTTATCGATCAATCAATTTGAAAATAGAAAAAATAAACATCGAAGTACATGCAAAATTTATAGAGGTTTACCTCAATATGAGATTATGTTCCCTTTCGTCGTACTCATATTCTTTATTTCTTCCTTTTCGATGAAAATTACGTCCCCTCTCCTCGTCATTTTCTCGAGTCGATTGAGCCATGTTGATCTTCAGGAGCCATGAATCCCATCATAATCACTACTGTATAAAATGGATTCTTGCTGGATTCTAAAAAAATAAAAGAAATAAAAATCGTTCTCTCTTTGATATTTGATGGAGTTTCGTGACTATGCTATAATATTTTGTAATTTTTTTTTTGAATTTTGAGTAAATATTATATTTGATGAAGATTGGATATGAATTATTTTAATTTAATTTAGGCTGTTTTATGTATGTAGTATAAATTATTGACACTTAATTTTCATAACTTTAATTAGATTGGAATTTTAATTCGCGTTATCTTTAATTTTTATCATTATTTAGAGTTAGTCATTTTCTAGGAGTTTAATCATTATCCAGATTTTATTTACCGCTTTAAATACGAGTTTTATGACTGATGACAATTAATATAGTGGAATTTGAATTAAAATATAAATTGTTGAGATTTCTCCAATTTCTTAAATTCTCGTATTTGATATTTGATTTGAGTCCAATTCTTTGTATTTGTACGTGAATCAAGAGTTTGATGTCTAGATTTTAGAATCAATAGTAACCACAAGGTTGTCGTTTTCCAATATTCGTTTGGAAATAACGAAATTTCAATAGCTATTTTTATCGCTTCGTGCGGTTCTACCCGCCTTGCTACATCTATATTTTAGATACTTTAAATTTTACAGAGGCCAAAATTTACAAAAATGTAGAGTACCGTGTCATATACAGGTTCACAATTTTAATCACATAAATAAATAAATTACTCTCATTTTTCAAAATATAAACTTAAATATAACTAAATAAATTACTCAATTGTTTGATAAAGTAAGAAAATATTTATAAAATTAATATAAATAATATACTCTATGTTTTTTAATAAAGCAAGTAAATATTTTAAGTTCAAACCGCTCTCCTCAATTTTAATAATTTCAAGAGACTAAGCTTTATTATCAAAATGAATTAATGAATTTTAAGTACAAAATGATTTTCATAACAAATATTAGTCACGCGATATTATTTAATTTGAAATTTTGTGCATTTTTAAATAAAATGTGTAGAAAACAAAAAAATGGGCGATTTTCATCCAATATTTTTTTAATGTGTACAAAAAAATTATACTTTTTAAATGGTTCAAAAGTGCAGTGTACCATGGCATATACTTTTTATTCAGGTTTTAATTTTAACCAAATAAAAAAAATTACTCTATTGTTTGATAAAGTAAGAAAATATTTATAAAATTAATATAAATAAAATACTCCATTTTTTAATAGAGTAAGTAAATATTTCTCCTCAATTGTAATAATTTTAAGTTAATTATGAGTATTTATAAAATTATCCTTATAATAAACAGTTTATATTGAAATTGAAATGCAAGAAACAGACTCAGCTCTTATTCTTATTAACTTGCCTCGTACACGAAGAAGTAGTCGTTACATGTTCATTTTATTCTACTAGGAAAATTGAAAACAAACTACATTCCTCCATGGGCAAAACACCACATTTTTACGCAGAAGACACTCTTGGTTGCCTTGAAGATTTGCCGCCGCTGAAAATTAGTGTCTCCTTCCTGTTAAACTTGAGCTGCTCCGCCACCTGTCTCGAAACTTGGTATGCATTCGCAATCACATCCACAGGCAAGCCTCGGAAAGATGAGGTGCGGCCGCTGAGAGTGTTGATCATGGCATTCTCATTGGTATTGAATTCTACCCACTCGAAACCTTCATCTCCGGCCTGCTTCACCACCGCGAAATTGTGTGGCACCACCACGACTTGGCCCTCCTGGATTGTGTCGTCGAACACGGCTTGTCCTCTGTTATCCACTATCTGCATCCGGCCGTTGCCCCTTGTCACGTAGACTACAGTGTGGCAGTTCATGTACCAGTGTGGTGACATGATCGCTTTCTGCGCAATACAACATTTAAGAAAATTCATATTTATCAGCTTTAAGTTGATCTGAAAAAGGCTTCCGAATTTCTTACCCCTTGTAGGACACCTTTTGCAGCACTAAGCTGTAAGAAGCTGAGCATAGGGAGAGTTAGGCTGTTGGCGGTGGTGAATCGGCCGGCACGGGGGTTATAAATGTCAGCCCTAACCGGGTTGTCGATGTTTTGTCTGACCCTGGCGGTGCAAATTGTCTCCTCCAGGCCGTTAGCACGTCGGTTCTGCTCTCTATATTGCTGTTCCTCTCCTGTGAAAGGGGGGCTAATGACTTGAAGCCCTTGTTCAATGTTCACCATGTGGCCTCTCTGATCATTTTCACCCTGGAGCTTCTTTGCGGTCTCCTGGTCGACATTGAAGGCCTCCGCCAGAACGTGAGAGGGGAATCCCTTGAAAACGTTGCCAAATCGGCTGTATTGCTGCTCAGGCTGCCATTGTTGCTGCCCTTGCTCTTGTCCACTTTGTGGGTTTCCAGCCAAGAAAAATCTCTACAACATCAAAAAAGTATATAGATTACAAACTTTGTAGACTGAAATGTACATATGAATCCCACGGCCTGTAATAAGCCAATTAAGTTAGGATTATTTACTCGGGGAATTTCATCGAGTTGGTTGGCAGCGTTAGAGGTATGTTGAAGAACGACAAGAACAAGATCTTCATTTCCATTATTGTAAATCCAGTGGGCGGCTCCGGCCGGGAAGGCAATGACGTCACCCTGCCGGAAGTTTCCTATTTTCTGATGTCGGTCTCGGAACCTCTGGCCCTGAGACTCTTGTTGAGATTCCTGTGAAGACTCGAAAGTTTCAGGACAACCCGAGATCATAATCCCGAAAATTCCATTACCTGCATTCATACGACAACACGCCAGATCAAAAATCTAACATTACTATAGCAACAAATCCTTAGTAAAGAGGATACAAATTTGATGACGTGAAACCTTTAACAGCGTAGGCAAGGAGTGGGGAACTGGTGTATGAAGGCAAGAGAAGGCTTCTGCGGTAAACTGTATGACGTAAAAAGGCAGCACCGGCGCACTGGAACTGATCGTCATTGTAATCATAGGACTCGGTGAATCCACCTTCTGCTTGAATTTTGTATTTGGGCTGAAGGGCATTGATTTTTTGGATTTGGCACTTGTCCTTTCGCGGCTGTTGAGCAAAGCTTAAACTGAAGAGCAAAACCATAGAAAGAAAGAGCAAGCAAACTTTCGCCATCTTTGAGCAGAAAAAAAAACTCAGTAAGTGTGCTTTTGGAGTGAAGAGGAAATTGATGTGAAGTGGCGAATGGAGTAGTAATGGTATTTATAGCAGAGAAGAAGTGTTCAAATTTGACACCTACACGAGTGAATCAACAGAAAGGTGTGCCATTTTGCACTCTGCATGCTACGGCAACTCTTCATGGCTTCCACCTAAGGGTGTCTCCAGGGGCAGGTGGCCTTCATCTTCTCATAATGGTACAAATTACTGGTTTTTGTTTGTATTCGGGAGTGAAGTTTTGGTGAGCTTGAGGTGCATTATGAGCAATGAAGAGTCTATCCCTATTCATTGATAATCACAAGATTGATTGTTTGATGGAATTTATTTATTTATTATTATTATATTTATTTTATGGTCCTAAGTTTAGCGAGAATGAAAATAATCAAGAGGTGAAGAGACTATATAATTAGCGTGTAATTACTCGGAATATGGCTAAGTGTAATTATTTAGCTTTTACTTATAGGGGGTTTGGTGTAGATTAAAATCAGATTTTAGGTAAATTATGATAGAAGTTTTTGAAATGTGTGGTTGAAAAGATGTGAAACCAATAAAAGATGTGGTTGATATTAATTGTTTGGCTTTAACTAAAATTAAAATCAGATTAAAATCTCACCTTTTAACCGGAAGCACTTAACTTGTACTTAAATGGGTACTTGGTTTCAACCTTCTTATTTTATTTTATTTTATTTTTTTGCTTTGAGCACTTAGATTCTTTAAAATTCTTTAAAATTTAAAAAATAAGAAAATATATAGATCATTCATGTTTAAAAATATCAATTTAGAGCTTGTTTGGGAGAGATTTTTTGGGGAAAAATTGATTTTGAATAGTGATATGATGGAAAATGTGTGATTAAAAAAGAAGAAAAAATTATTGATGTGATGGAAAATATTATTTTATTGAAGAACGTATGGTTGAAAATGAGAATTGAATTACTGTAGAAAAATTTAATCCCTCCCATACAGGGCCTTAGTATCAAAGTGCAAATCCCAGCATTCCAGTTACTCGAAAAGAATTTGCTAACATTTAGTCCCCTGTTGATTTGCCATTTTTTCCATGCAACTTGGAAATAAAATTCTATCTTCCACAAAAAATCATGTTTAATTGGGAAAATTTTCTTGGTAATTCAATTTCCATCTTTTCCTCGCACGGTTCCAATTCCATGGTTTTGAGAAAAATCAATTCCCACCAATTTGTTGGGATTTTGTTTTCCAGGTTTTTTTTTTTTTAATTTGCAATGAAAACAAATTCTATTCTCAATTGTAACAAATTTTATCCCTTTAATGGACAATTTTCATGTAAAACAAAGTCAAAAGAACACCAAAATATCCAAAATTTCAATATTTTCCACGTGAAAATTATATTAATCAAATACAATTAATTGACAATTCCCAAGAAAACAATTTGAGGCAATTCAATTCCCTGAAATTCAATTTCTTTCCACCCAAATTTCACTTTTACAATCAAACGGACCCTAAAGGTCAAAATATTATTGTATTGACTAAATAATGTAGTCGAAGCTTATAGGAAAGAACCAGAAAGAGAGACAGTTAATAGAAATTTTTTCAATACGTTTATAATATTCCAAAAACTGCTTATAACTCCTATTTTAAGGCATGTTAATGATAATAACAAAAAACTACTTAATGTCGACTAAAATCAAGATAATGAAGAAAATTAAAATTCAAAATCCTGAGGATCAATCCACAACGAACATAATTGAATTTTGAATTTATTTACTAAAACGAAATTATCAAAAAGCACAAAATGCGTTTTTAGATACCTAAACTATGGAATTTGGTAGAAAAAGAACGTACATGAAGGCAAAGCCCTTGAGTTTTGCTCGTCAAGCCGTTTCCACTCAAAATTGACCTGATTTTTTCGAAAATGGACACTTACGAAAAATTATTTTTGTCAATGCCAATCCCACTTTTTCATGTAATCTTCTTCTTTATCTACTACATCATTAAATTTGCCACCAAATTGATTTGGACGTGAACAACACTTGCAACATTGCTTTAAAGAGGCAATTGCACTGCGTGGGGGTTTATCTAAGCGAAAGAGCTTGGCTGTCGTGTTGCGGGAACCGAATGTTACTCACTTAAGAGTAATTGACCGCCTCCCGGTCATACTTAGCTTGTGCACTAAATATGAGTTGTAACTCTCGTTGCTTTATTCCTCCCAAGTGAAATGTAGTCTATGACGTGGTTGATTTAAGTGTAGATGAAATGAATGTATCCTTCGTTTCTTTCGCTATCAATTCATGGCAAAATTGAATTAATTTGAATGTTTCAACCCTAAAAAAAGTGCATACCCATCAAGTTTTGTCAATAAAAAGAATATAACTAATATAAAAGCAAAATTATATACAAGGCTAAAGAATTACAAATACCCCATTATACACACAATTTCTCTGGGGAAAAAATCACAATTAAGGCATTAACTATACAAAATTCAAAAATCAGGTTTTAAGTTTAATTAATGCAAAAATCAAGTATTTATTTATTAATTAATTATATTTTATTAATTAAATACAATAAAATCACAATTGTATAATTAATGATCACGTGTACATAATCATAAGTCACAACTTATTTATTGATCACGTATTAAATAATTAATTGGTCACAGATTAATTCGAGATCACAAATCAAAAATTTTATAGGTCACAGATAAAAAATTATATGTCATAATTTACCAATCAGTCACATATTTTCAAAAGTGCTAATCACAAATTATCGAATTTTAAGATCACAGATAAAAAATTATGTCACAATTTATCAATCAGTCATGTATTTTCAAATTTATTGGTCACAAATTAACGAATTTTAATGTCACGATTTATTTTATTGGTCACGGATAAAAAATTATAGGTCACAATTTATCGATCGATCACGTATTTTCAAATTTGTTGATCACAAATTATCGAATTTTAAGGTCACAGTTAAACAGTTGATCATATGGGGAAAATTCACAATTTAAGGCATTAACTATGCTCCATTCAAAAATTAGGTTTTAAGTTTAATTAATACAAAAATCAGATATTAATTAATTAATTAATTAATTATATTTTATTAATTAAATATAATAAAATCACAAATATATAACTAATGGTCACATGTACATAATTATAGGTCACAACTTATTTATTGATCGTGTATTAAATAATTAATTGGTCACAGATTAATTCGATATCACATATCAAAAAATTTATAGGTCACATTTTATTTTATTGGTTAGGGATAAAAAATATTATAGTTCACAATTTATCAATCAGTCACATATTTTCAAATTTGTTGATCACAAATTATCAAATATTAAGTTCACAGTTTATTTTATTGGTCATAGATAAAAAATTATAAGTCACAATTTATCAATCAGTCGCGTATTTTCAAATTTGTTGGTCACAAATTATCGTATTTTAATGTCACAGGTAACCAAATAGTGGGTCACATACGACCACCACTTACACTGTCGCCATCGTCGCCGCTGCCTACATACCACCACCACCAATACCACAATATCACCACCAACAATCAACTCTATCAGATTTCTAGCCACCAAAAATCACCACCCTGTGGTTGCCACCATATCCAAATCCAACCCCATAACCGTCGCCACCAGATCCACCATCATCCCCGTCGCCAACAACAACAAAGACATCACCACACCACAACCACAACCACCACCCACCACAACCTCCAACCCCGTCATCGCTGCCAGCTAAGCCACCAGCCTACCAACAAAATCATCAAGTCTGTCACCACACAAATACCATCCCACCTCCACACAAAACACCATCCAACAATATAAATCGGGGGGAAAAAAAAAAAAGAAATCAAGCAGAGCCACGGGCAACAACGTTCACAGCATCGCCATCTCCAAGCCGTACCACCATCGCTACCACACAAACCATGGGTCACAGAAAATCGTCGAAGATATCAAAGAAGATTTCAGATCGCCACATCTGCACTTCCACGCGCAGAGGCTCTGATCTCTTCATTAAGCACGCGGTGCTACTTAAGTGGTGGTGACGTGCGGTTCCCACGGCGGGTGCTCCGACGACGTCTGACGATGAGGAAGGCATGAGAAGGAGATGAAGAAGATGGAGAGTGAGAGTGAGAAAAATGAAATAAAATTAGGGTTTGTAATTAAATTGGGTGAAAACATTTAGCCCCCGTTTGATCTACATTATTATCTCATTAAAATGAAAAATATGACCGTTATCCATCACATCAACATTTAAATTCAAATTTTCTATCTCTTATGTGGGCCCCAATAATGGTTATATTTTTCATTCTCATTCTACAATAATTTGGTTCAAACAGAGCCTTAATATATAATTATTATGTAATACCTGATTTTTTATTAAATAAAGTTTAGATCTGATTTTTGAATTTGTAAACTTAAATACTTAATTTTTATGTAATTTCCTCATTTCTTTGTACATATACTTCAATATCATGAGATAAAGTTTAAACTTCCCACTTTTGCAAAAAAGAGACCCAAATTACAGGTTGAAAAATGGGTATTTGTTTTAATTAAAAACTGGCTCTGGAGGCAACTGTTGGAATGTCTATATGTTCTAATCATGCCCCGAAAATTTAATAGAAATATGCCATATTTTAATAATTTTAAAAAGTTGATGAATTAAGATAAAATAGTATTAAATTCAATATTATTTTGGATCAAAAAATTAGTTATTGATAAAGTGCTAATTAATATATCAATATTGGACTTGTACTTAATCAGAAGTCTTCCAATCGATAAATAGTCTGTTTGTATAATTTAAGTCCAAGTTATTTCAATTCAAAGATTGTATTTAATGAGTATTATTTTATTACTTGATAAAATAAATTTTAAGATAATTAGGAAAAGAAAGTAATATTATATAAATCAACGTTCAATTTTAAATTTGAAAAAGATTTGATATAAATAATACTCTTTAAATCGATCTTTGAATTGAAATAAACACATTATTTATTAGTTGGATAAAGGATAAATCCACCCATTTTCTCTCATATTCCCACTAACTTCTAACAACCTCACATTAGTTTCTTTTACTCATTTTAAATATCTCTTAGTTTATCTTCCGCTATAATTATGGTTTTACTTCCTTTTTATTTTCAGCAACAAAACAAGTAAAAATAATAATAATTACCTTCATAATCCCCCATCTTTTAGGAAGAAAGCAAATCTTTTTATAAATTTTTGGGCAGCTTCTAGATGTACAAATCTGAATTTTTGTGTTCATCAAGTCAAGATTTTCAAAGGTTTAAGGTATGATAACGAGGTGAGGTTGATTTTATTTCGTTTAAATTATTTTTCTGTGTTATCAAATTATTATACTTATAAAAGTTAAAGATATGATATGTATAATATGGTCATCCAGCACCAAATATATGATATGTATTGAATTCTTATAAATCTCTAAAGATATAATGACGGTATCGTGCAATCTCTTTTAAGTATCCAGATTGTTCTTTCTTCTTTTTACTTGCTTCACTTTCATAATTCCCCAGTTCATCCACAATTTCTTTTCGAGCTTGCTCTTCAGCATCCAGGTCCTTATTAGCTTTTTCAGTATCCTTTTGTATGTTCAACAGTAGCCAAAGAAAATGTTCCTGCTTTAAAGATTTCTGCATTGGAGGCATCATAAAGATATGAATTATTAGGTCAAAGTGAGAGGCTGTTTCAAATAATTATTATTTTCAAGTATTAACCTACTTATTACTACAATGCTAGGAGATAATGACAGGATAAATTTCATTTAAAGCTTATGTATGAGTACTGAAACAATAAAACTTCATATCATTCACTTGCTCTACTAAAACAGCTCATATACAATCAGGGGCGGACCCAGGAAGAAGGTTCAGTCGGGACGAAACCAAAAAACATTGGAAAAAAAAAATCTGAAAACCTAAAAAATTCTGAAAATCTGAAGAAAAATCGAGAAATCTGAAAATTGAGTGGGGGCGGCGGCCCCCACTGGTCCTCGAGTAGGTCCGCCCCTATATACAATACTGAATCATACAATAAAAGTAAAAAACTCTAGATCGAAGGAATATAAAAAAAGTATATAGTGAATACAAGTTGGTCTTGCAATTTGAGGTGTTTTTCCGCCTTTTTTCTCCGCCAATATTGTTTTCTTCCTTGGATGAGCAATCACAGCTTTTTCATCAACTAGGGCTTTTTTTTTTTTCCTTCGAGTTCCTCATATGGTCTCTTGTATTCTTCAGAGCCCGAGATTTGTTCGATAAGCGCTGTAAGTTCCTTAGGATTCTTAGAAGCAATTGACTCCACATCCCCCTATAAAGAAAAAATTGTTACCATAACTCATTCGATTGCCAACGTTGTTCCTCGTATACCATTTGGTTCTTTCTCAATGTACCAGTTCGAAAGATGCTAAAGATTTATAATTTTCTATGTGTTTAATAAGTTGTTATTTTATTTATAAAACTGATTAATTTAATCTCCACATATTAATATCTAGATGAATACTTAACATGCCAATGCAAATGCTACTAGGAAAATCATACGTACAATCATCTGTGTCCTCGTGCATCAAACAGTAACCACCACCTACTTAACTATTCACAGTGAAAACTTGCAAAAGAAGAACACAATAAGTTTAGACACAGTAACAGGCTACACACACAACTCGATCTTGATCTTACGACCAAACGTAAGTCCTCACTCTTTGCTGCTTTTATTAGCGCTCTCTGGTGCTCGAGCACTCGTATCATTCTTCTCACGCTGGAATCCTGCTTGTGCTCGATCACTCTTATTATTCGTCTCACTCTGGGATCCAACGAGCCCTATTTTTGATGAATTCAGGCTATCGGTTTCATGTTGACTTTCATTCTGCAGTGCTAAAGTTGCTCCTTTGACATCAGAGTAATTAGGCAGTTCTTTTGCATCGGAATGATTAGGCAGTTCTTCTCTTGCATTGACATCAGAGTTAGGCCGTTCTGATTCTAAGGAAGCTACCATTTCTTCGTATTTGGAAATGACTTTTTGAAGCTCGTCGTTGAGGTTTAGAGCCTCGAAAAGCATCAGATCATCGTCAGACGTGCTTTCGATAATTACCTGAAGAACAGGCAATGATTGTCGGCATTTCTCCAACATGTTCACAGTCAGATCATCCTGCAAAAACCCCCCAAAACAAGATATTCTTAGTATTGAAATCTATTTGAGTTTATTTGTGGATAAGTTCAAGTGCTGGAAAGGTCAAGATTGAACGGACGTCAAGTGAAATGGCAGCACATTCAAGAAAAGTAAAATAAACCAGCAAATAGTTTTTAACACCAACAATCTGGAATTTTCACATTATTTGAAAAAAATTGCATTAGGTATTTCACACGTAATACATGCATATCAGGTCTATCAGAGAGACTTCTTTTTTGCCTTTCCCATTTTTCCGGTTGGTGTTGAGGAGGTGTCCTGAGGCCAATTCTTAAGAAACGAATACAGGACTTGAAACGCAGAAATACAAAATTAAAAAGGCAGGAAGCTAAGAAAGTAAAAGCAGCCTAAATTTGGTGTTAACATAAAACAAGAGTAAACAAGTTTTGCATCAGGATAGTAAGGCCTAAAACACGAAGAGAAGGAAAGAAAAGGGATAATTCAATAGTTGGCCATTCATTTACAGAACAAGACTACTCCAATATTGATGATTAGCAAGTGTTGGTTCAAGATGGAAAAGCCTAGACCATGCGATTGCGAGAAAACACTTGTAGAAAACTTTAAAAAGTGGACAAATATTGCTGCAATAATTTTAATTTTTTATCATAGAATAAGAATTACAATGATTTAAGTGACAAGTAAAGAGACCTTATTCATGATGTTTTTGTATGCATTGATCGCCCTCACAGATATGGACCTGTTTGGTGCACATTATGAAATCAAGAATGCATTTTTTTTATGATATGATGGGAAATATGTGGTTGAAAAAGAAGGAAAAGTTATTGATGTGATGGAAAATATTATTTTATTGAAAAATGTGTGATTGAAAATGAATAGAAGAAGAATGAAAAAAATAATGTCCACCAAACAGGGGCATACTGAAACTATGGCATGGAAAATTGCAGAAAATATTATATTAGACCAGCTAGGGCATCTATACTAACTAACCGAAAAAAATAACTGTAATAACAGTGGCAGCAACAGTAGCAAGGATCGGAACAGTAATTCATTTATTTTCTGAACACAAAGGAGAATTTTAGTGACCTTGAGAGGTTTGGATTCAACTTCAGAACTCAATATGCTGGAAAAAATGTCGAGACTACTTCGAGTTATTTCAAGAAACTCTTTCTTCTCTTCAACAGATTGAATGCCATAACTAATGAATGTGGCATCTGCAACATTTTGCAAACCAGTGTGGGGAACAGGATAATTTCCAGGAGGTGACCGGGGCCATTGATCAAGATATGACTCCAGGCTGTATTGCGTGGGGGATGCATTTCCATCTTGTGTTACTGGAGGTCTCCCTCTTGTTTTCAAGTTCTGCCAAATTTCGAACAATTAAATTGCTGGAAGAAAAACTTATGTCACTAATATCTAAATACATGAAGCATGGAATTATGCACGGTCAGCAATTTGTCTGTCCATAAAGGAAGTAAAATAAGCCGATCTCTAAATACATGCAGCATGGAAAAATGCACATCTAGAAGTTAGCATATCCATCATGTTCCCGTTAAGTTTCTATCTTAAAATCATAAAATGCAATAGTTGATCATGCTAAAGAAGTCGGAATGATGACATATATATCATTAAAACAAGAAACTACCATGAAATACCAAAGTCATACAATATAAACATAACTGTCTGAAATTTTGAACAACGTAGAATCACTAGAGAGAAAAGACACTTAGCTACACGGGAAGCTGTTATCATAACATCACATCACATTATGGTATTATATTGAAATATATTAGACCTACGAATTTTAATTCTTTCTGGTAGGCAATCATCACTTGAATATGCAATCCATAAACAACAGTAAAAATAAGGGATTCAGAATTTTAAAGGTTGCGCAGAACAGAACAGACTTGAGACGGAAAGTATGGTGTGCTTGCCACACGCACCATTGTCCAGTGAACTATAAAGAAGCTTACTCATTTTCACAACAAAAATTAATTGTTATAGGTGATGAACAAACTATCTCCCCAGCTAATGGTTATAGTGTGGAAGTCCCTTGCGTAATTTATCAGCACAAGAAGGCTCCATGGTAAGAGTTATGAAAATCAACCAGCCTATGTGAGCATAGTTCACTCATACAGTGATCTTCCCCAACTATCAGAAATTAAAAGAAGTTAGTCCATGAAAATAATACCAAAAATAGTAATCCATATGAATGCAGGTTCGGTGAATGTACAAGTCTAACAAGAGACATGAACAGCGTATATTCATAAGTTTGAGTTCTTATTGCTTGGTTAATCACTAACCAAATAGCTCCTTCAAATATTGTACAAGTACAAAATTGCAACCTTCATCGTTCGATATTTCATTTCCTAATATGATTACAAATGAATAAATTTCTCCCCTATCTAATAAAAGCTTTAGATCGCTTGGTTTATTGGGATGATATTGAAGCAACCAGTTCAGATCTCACTGTCAATGCTGTAGCAAAATCATGAAAATCAATGTTGAAGATATATATATATACTAGTGCATAAATTTTACTCACAGACAAATCTTTACTCCTACTTCAGTGCAACCATGAGGGTGAGGTATACAATCAAAGAAGAGAGAGTGCCACTGACCAAATAAGTCTGATGAAACGCGGGCAAGTACATGAGATCCTCAGACTCGCCCCAGCCCCGGATCAGCTGCATCGCCCTAACCCTGTTCCCGTGCTCCGTCTTCTGATCATCAATCAACCTCACCATATCATCCAGCACCTTCTCCGACGCCACCTCGGAGAACATCTTTTCGCAATTCGACGTGCAAGTCTCCAACAAGTCCAAACTCAACATCTGACTCACCGGATTTTTTCCGGCCACCAATTTTTTCTTAATAGCCTTAACGATTTCCGTCCCATTTAATTCCTCCTTATTGATCATGGCGCAAATGCGGAGGTTCAAACTCCAGTTGGGCTCCTCCATGGTCTCCGCCGTCGCCTCATCGACTATTTTGGATGCCGGTGTCGGACTCTGGAGAATTTCCTTCATTTTCATGCTGATCGTCCGGCCCATCTGAGCGCCGCTCGTCTTTATCCTCTCCCCAAATGAAGAAGATGCCAGTTTCAGCTTAGACAAATCAAGTTTTTCCATTTCTTGAATTTGGAATCAGATTTTGCAAAATGGGAGATTCAGATGAAAAAATTTCACTTCAGTTGGGTTTCAATTCTTGTTTTGATCGTTTGAAAATACCAGGTCTCTTCGATTGAGTCACTGAGATACGCGTGGCTGGGTGTCTGTCGAGCAGAACAGGGCCAAATGGAGATATTACTGTCTATTCAATCTTCGAGGCGGTGACTAAGTCTGCAATTAATAAATTTAGTCCGTTTGAAACCAATAAAATTAAATTTTGGAAATAAAAATATATTTTAAAATATTAATTTTTTTTTAAAGAATATACTATTACAAAGAAGGAAGAATTTTAGATTTAATATTATTTCATTGAAAAATGTATAATTAAAAAAAAAGCGAGAAAAATACACTTTAAATAAAATGGAGCTTAAACCGAGCTTAATTACAATCTTGAAGGAAATTAATATGGATAATTGGTGAAATAAGTCCTACCATTTGTTTTGATTGTGCAAATTCTTCATATCATTTAAATTTTAATATTTGCACCCTCAACATTTATTTGTGTAAAACATCCTTACTATTCATTTACTCAATCAAAACCTTACAAATTAACGAATTTACTCTTCTCGTTAAATAACTAATAAAAAGATAATAAAAGTAATAGTCCTAAATTTTTAAAATATAAATCAGTTATTTAAAGAGAAATGTATATCAGTCATTTCATAATTTTTAATTTAGAAAATGGATGAAAATGACATTTTGCTCAATAAAAGATGAAAAAAAAGGTGAAAATGCTAAAAAAGAAAAGTAATGACGTTTTCCATAATAATAGTGAAATATATATTAGTCATTTCATAATTTTTAATTTATAAAATGAATGAAAATGACATTTTACGCAATAAAAGATGTAAATAAAAGTGAAAATGCTAAAAAACGAAAGGTTATGACGTTTTTCACAATAATAGTGAAATGTAATGACATTATGTGTTAATTACCCTCTCATTAATATCTACCTATTTTATTTATTTCAACATCTGAAAAATAATCAAATTGTACAACACGCTTCTTTATTTGTAGATTAATTCTACAAAAAGTTTTAATCGATTAAAACAGTTTATTCAAATAACAAAGCTACAATTAATTAAAAGTATTAAAATAACTATATTGTCTAAAAATATAAACCCTGAGAAGAAATTAATGTTCTGTATTTACTATTTAATATTTACATATTTTGTCGAGGAAAAAAGTAGTAGAAGAAACAAAAAGAAAAAAAAAAAGGTAAGTGCCAGAATGTACGCAGACAAAATTGGGGTGGAAATTGTTAAATAGAAAAAAGAAAGGTTCCACCGAGATTTGAACTCGGGTTACTGGATTCAGAGTCCAATGTCCTNATTTGAACTCGGGTTACTGGATTCAGAGTCCAATGTCCTAACCACTAGACCATGGAACCGTTTTGTGGACGTAGAACGAATTTTAATATTTAAACTAAACATAATGAACCTATAAAATTAAAACCAAAAAGAAATAAATTAAGCCTAACTTTTTTTTAGGGAAAATTGCAACCACAGTACCAAACCTTTCACTTTTTTCCAGATTTTACCCAAACCTTTCATTTGTGTAACCCACGGTATCAAATCTTTCACTTTTTTGCAGACTTTGTCCAAACTATTCTGTGCCACTTACGGTACCAAATATTTAAACAATTTGCACCCGAAATTCAAATTGACAGAAACCGTTAGTTGACCAATTGTTGACCAATTTTTAAAGGGTAAATGTGTGATTTTACATTTTTCATATGAAAAAAATTAAAATAAAAGAATTAAAAAAAAAAAAACTTTGCCACTGTTCATCTTCTTCCCCCTATTCTCTGTAGCAGCTAGATTCTTGGTACTTCTACTCAATCAGGAACTTTTGGAATCCTAGCCGTTTTCTTCCTCTTTGGGTGCGAATTGTTTAAAAGTTTGGTACTGTGAATGGCACAAATGAAAGATTTGGGTAAAGTCTGCAAAAAAGTGAAAAATTTGGTACCATGGCTGCAATTTCCTTTAATTGTTATGGTCAACTTATAGGTATTATGTATTAGTAAAACAAGAAATTTTACAAATAATCACATAATTTTAGCTCGTACCTCTTCTCCTCTCGACTTATTTTACTTGAAATGAATCACACTTGTAAGATAATATTTATCTTCTTTCTTCGATAAATGAACAATATTCTTCATTTCTAACATGTCATTTAGTTAACAGCATTCTCAAATTTTGATTAAAAATCCAATCTATATTAATTTTATTTGATTTGTTTGAAGCAAAAATCATTATTCTTTAATTTCAAGATTGTTTTCCTGAACACTCATTCCCATGATATCATAAATAATTGAAATTGCAGAGTTGTTGAACATAAAATATAGAGATGCAATTAAGAATACAACTATGTGGACTTTGTCTTTGATTGACTGAACTATATAGGTCATTAATATATTTATTTTAATAAATGTAAAATATTTTATTATATAAACGTCTAATTTAAAATGAGTATGAAATTTAAAGAATTATATATTTATATATATTGACTTTAATTTAAATTTAACTTCGATTAAACGAGGACATTCATAATCACCCCACCTCCCAATCGAGTATGAAATTTAAAGAATTTATATATATAAACGTCTAATTTAAAATGAGTATGAAATTTAAAGAATTATATATTTATATATATTGACTTTAATTTAAATTAAACTTCGATTAAACGAGGACATTCATAATCACCCCACCTCCCAATCGAGTGATTGGAGTCCAATACACGTAGCCGAAAGTGCTTACATACACCAGGACAGAACCCGACCCGTGTGAAAAGTTACAGAAATAGAAATACTGCAAAACCAGAACTAAAATAAAGAAAATAAAGGAAGAATGTCAAGGGTTTAAGAGGAAGCAAAAAATAATAAGGAATTTCTAAGATACGAATTCCAGTGATACTGCGACTCTCTCGAATTGATTTTGCAATGGTTTCCCACACAACATGGTTGCGTTACATTGCCAGCAAAATCGATTACTCCGTCTCCCTCAGTTGGAAGGTCAGTCACCCAATCAGCAAATAATTGATGCATATATGTGTTTAGGGGTTCTTCGTGTCATATCTTGATTTTCTCAAGTGTTTTTTTTTTTTTTAAATATTAAAGACTTGCTTTTTTGGGATATTTGAGCATACTGGGTTGTGAGATTTGTTTGGATTCTCGAATAAGAAATGCCTTGTGTTCTGGACCAGAAAATTTGAAAAGAAGAAGAAAAAGACGGGAAGAAAAGTAAATATTTTCTTAAGATGCTAAAACGGCTGATGCACTTCAATGGTTTTTCAGTCCAAGAAACATGTGTATTCGATTATTTATATTTTGTTTGCATTCTATTATGCCTTTACAATGCATTTGCATCATTTTTATTTTCTGATCCGACTTAAGACCTTTATTGGAAGGCAACATGCTTGCAACCTTCTCCACAACTTCAACCACACCAACTTTTTGCTGATTCAGAATTTTCGTAGATATCATAGCAGGATTCCCACGTGAAAAAACCTAGATAATTAGAATGGCCTGATTGCCCGGGTGGGGTTTAAATGTTTTCAAGGATTAACAGGAACCTTGGGATCTTAGGTCAGGGAATGAAAGTTGTTGGGTGACGATCCCAAGGGAGCCTTCCTCCATGGATATTACATCACCAAGCTACTCCACCCAAATTGAGTATTACAACGCTCAGCTGCTCCATCCAGGAATCGAACTCCCCACCCTGAGGTTGCAAGCCCAGCAGTGCCCATCCTTTGCCAACTTGGATGTGCCCCGGGGGGCGTGTGTAGAATATTTTATTGGGTGAATGTGTGGTGGAGAATCTTACTGTAGCAAACAATTTTTTGGATTAATGGTAGACAAACAGGGGCTTAGTGTGTGTTTGGTAGGGATTTTTTGGGGGAATAATTGATTTTGAATAGTGATATGATGGGAAATGTGTGGTTAAAAAAGAAGATAAGATTATTGATGTGATAGAAAATATTATTTTATTGAAGAATGTGTGGTTGAAAATGAGAATTGATTTACTGTTGAAAATAAAAATTGATACCAAACATACCCTAAATAGGAGTACTCAGGATTTACGAGAAATGTGTGGTTGAAAAAGAAGATAAGATTATTGATGTGATAGAAAATATTATTTTATTGAAGAATGTGTGGTTGAAAATGAGAATTGATTTACTGTTGAAAATGAGAATTGGTACCAAACATAACCTTAGTCCGTTTGACTCCAATAAAATTAAATTTTGGAAAAAAAAAATATATTTTAAATTAGTAATTTTTTTTTTTAAGAATATCCCTATCCCTACATAAATAAAAGAGGCAGTTCCCCAGTACTGTTCATAAGCCAAGCCGACTTTTCCTAGCCGTGTAGTCATTGAAGCCGAGTGACCGAGCAAGCCGGGGGAAAAAAATGACAAAAGAGCAACTCCACATTGGTTTCTTCTATTTTCTCTGTCCTAACCCTAATTCTCTCGCTCTCTCTTCTCTCTCTCGACAATCAACATATCTCAGCCTTCGTCGCTCAACAAATTCCACCCACAACTCGACTCTGGGTTCGATGGGTTTCCTATTCTCTGCCTTAACCCTGATTGCTGTAGTTCTCTACCCTAATTGCTTTCTCTCTATCTTCTCTCTCGACAATCAACAAATCTTTGCCTTCATCTCCACCGTAGCAACAAATTCCAGACGCAACTCGCCTCTAGGTACAATTCCTTCCTCGCTTCTGGTTTTTACTATTCAGTGTATTTTGTCGTTTCATTTTTTTTGTTTGATCTTCGAATAGGTGGAACCATCCAAAATAAGTGAGTCTTTTATTTTCGAAAGCTGTCGATTTGGAATAATAAAAGTAGTGTTAATATTAATCCTTTGTTAAATTATTTGGAATTTCGTCTTTCTTCTGACGATTTCTTTTTCATGGGGGCATTACAAATTTCATATGGTTGGGGTAGATGATGTTTATGGA